GAAAATCAATTAATGCGTTCCTAGGGAAACCGACTTCAGACCAGGTCCGGGGACAGTCTGTCCCCCGACCTCTTCTGAAGGCTGGGGGGGGGACAAGGGCTTTTCTTCCCACCCCCAGCATTTTAAAAAAACCCCGGGACAGCGGAGGACTTCTCCGCTGTCCGGGGCGATTTAAAAGCCCCTGGGAAGGCAGGCAGGGGGGACAAAGACTTTTGCCCCCCGCCAGCCTTCAGAAGAGGTCCTGGACCTCTTCTGAAGGCCAGCGGGGGGCAAAAGTCTTTGCTCCCCACGCCTGCCTTCCCGGGAGAGCGGAAAAACGCAGCGCGTTTCTCCGCTCTCCCGGGAGGGCTTTTAAAGGCAGGCAGGGGGGACAAAGACTTTTGCTCCCCCCCGCCTGCCTTCAAAAGCTGTCCGGCCAAGGCTTCGCGGACCTCTCCGCAAGCAGCGGCAGCGCTGCCGCTGCTTGCGGAGAGTTGCCGGCATGCCGAAGCCTGCGCGCGCTGAGATCAGCGCGCCCAGGCTTCGCGGCCCCGCCGCCCGGCTTCGGGGCATCATCCCGATGCCGGGCGGCGGGGTGAGAGGTTCCCGCCCGCCGCCCGGCTTCGGGGCATCGTCCCGATGCCGGGCGGCGGGGGGAGAGGTTCCCGCCCCGCCGCCCGGCATCGGGGCATCGTCCCGATGCCGGGCGGCGGGGGGAGAGGTTCCCGATGCCGGGCGGCGGGGGGGGGGTGTCTTATACATGGGCGGTGAATGCACAGGGGTTTGAGTTTGAGTTCTGGTGTGGGCGGCCCAAGGTCGAGTTTGGTCTCTGGCCCAATTTCTTAATTTTGGGATTAAAAAAAAGGGGAGTTGTCTTATATATGGGGGCGTCTTATACACAGAAAAATATGGTACTTTGCCATTTGCCCTGGACATACTGTACTGTAATCCTCAGCAATATATAATACACTCCAAGAATCTTCAAAACAACAAATGCTACTTCAGTTTTTCATAGAAGCAAAATCAAATCATGGATGGAACTAATGCCCACATCACACATAGTGCAGTGCTTCAGAATATGGAGAATGTAAAATGCTATGTGAAAGCCATTTTTTGAATGTCTCAGAGACCAGAAATAGCAATCTCTTGTTCAAATATAGGGACTCAGCTTTAATTCCGAGAAGTCAGCTGTGTGAAAACACTTATGTTCTTAGCACTCTAAGACTCTATTTATTAACATAGTATGAAGATGGTTGGCCTTTGCAATTACAGCTTTTTGATTTAATATTTAATCCACAGCATTACTGTTTAATAAGCAGCACACTTAGCTTAGGATACAAACCATAAGAATATTTAAATGATTTGTGGTGATTGTTTAAATAACAGTAATTACATATACATTTGAGTGATGACTTTAAGGTATCATTTCCTAGTACCGTAATTGGCTCAGGAGTAAAACATCTCAGAGTAACGGTGCTCAGCAACAAGTTAGAGGTCTTTTGGTTAAATTAGTAGAATAGGAAGATATAGCGTCTATGCAACTGCTTCCTAAGCATTGGATAGAGTAAAAAAGAAGGCAATCTGTAGGTAGTAGTGCCTGATGATTTTTCCGAGAGTTTGTGTAGAATAATAATAATGTGCCTGAAAGATCACAAAGAACAGGGTTGTGAGAAGTATCAATAAACTTTGTATTTCGGCAACATGCGACTTGACTAGTAAGTAAGGCTTAGAATTTGAATGACAGGAGAGCATTGGGGGAAGATCTGGGGATTTTTATTGTATAGCTGGGTCAGATGTTATGTGGAAAAGAAAAGCAGAACTCATACGAGACACAAAACTCTGGTAAAATAAATTCAACTTGGAAGCAGGGTGGATCATCATCAAGCTACTTCAGTGAGAGGAAATCAAGGTATTCAAAATGGGATGCTTGATTAACACTGTCGCAGGGAGAGTTGGCCAGTATTTATTCAGGAATGTGACTTAAATTAACTTAGTCAAAAAGTAGGGTGGAGAAAAGACAAAGAATGGGGGAAGGGGCTCCATAGCTTTGGCACCTTTCAATCCCTGTGCCTCTTTAACGCTAGCCAAGATGAGCTTTCTTTCAGTGAAATCTTTGAGCTGTTTGTAGCTGTTGAATGTGTTGTTGGCAGTTTTTCACAACTTGGTAGTAGAGAAAGCAGCTGATTCAATATGCATTACCTAAATCTGAAGACACCAAAGGAGTAGAGTTGTGCTTTTCAGTACAGGACCACTAACCCAAGGGGAAAGTTGTCAAATCTTTCGTATAGATTCTCTCTCCTTTACCTGACATCTCATGCAAAGCTTCAACAACCTTGGATGTGAACTCCTAGTACTTAGAACCAAGAGGAGTGGTGATTCTGCTGATGTACACGGCAGACTTCCTGGTTAAGTTGCTCTCATGTCTGCTGTTGCTGTCCTGGGAGCAACAAACATCCTCTTCCCAGCACAACTCAGGTATTCCTTGCCACTACGTCAACTATTCCATTCTGACTTGCCCCAGTGGGGCTGCCAGGAGGGCTTCTGTCAACAACTACCTTGGAACCACCATTACCAAGAAGTGACGGAGGAGTTTCCCAACAATTACAGGGGCATAATTGACTGAAGATGTACATACTCATCACATAAAAAGTGTGGGGCTGACAAAGCAATGGGAATAATAGGCTTTGTGGGTGGAAATTCCAGAAATACAACCAAAGACTTCCCTAATGTTGACCACTGCAAAACTAAGACAGGAATGGGAACATACAACTTTAGATGGCAAGCAGACCTTCGGTAGGATTCCAAGTCTTTAACCCAAAAAGCTGCTGGGTGACATGAAGAAGGTTTCCACACTATGGCACTACAGCCAATAAAAGGAGCAGTACTTGCCAAGTGTCTCTGTGCCATCAAAACACAAAAGCTCCCCTTCACTTAAGAGAGTTGGAATGTGACAATGCTGGTTGAATGGTCAAAGATTTGGTGGGTTACCTAGAAGATTCAAAGCACACTTATAGAAAAGGGGTGTGACACCCATGGTGTTGCACAACTACAGTTATAAGCCTGAGATAAACTTTTAAAATATTTACAAGCCACAAGAAAACAAAATGCTGCAAAGGATACAGTAAAAAGTACTCTTAGCTAGCTGGCATAGATGTTGATCTCAGGAAACACTGGCAAGGTTATTTTTTAAGCATCCTGACAACCAGTGATGGGTGAGAAGAGTGCTCAGGAGGAGTTAGAAACATTATAACAAAGACTGTCGACATAAGAATGTGAACATACCTGCAAAGGCACTAGCCTTTTGAACACAGAAGGAATGGTACTGCAGTTGTCAATTAAGTACCTGTTCCCAAGTTTACCTGACCAACAGAGTTTAATATATTTGTGCTACAGGGTTTGTGCTGAAAGCTTTGACAGCTCAGAAGTCAGTTATAAATAATCTGGAACAGTTGTGACCGAGTGTTCTTTAGCACTTTCAGACAGACATTCAGGGCAACTGGCAGGGGCTTTGAAAGCTGTTTCCCACATTAGAACCATGATAAAAATAGGAAAAGACTGTTTCCTTGTCTTCTGCTAAAATAGATCTTACTCAACAAGATTTTTACGAGCATGACAGAGCACTGATTTAGCTTCCTCAAAGGTAGTTTAAACTGCTTCCAACAGTAACAATTAAGGCCTTTTGCAGTTCAGCAATAGGTATTTTTTAAAACTAAAGCAAGAGGAAACATGCTGGCTTGGCTCCATAGTTCCCATGTACTCATGGGATGCTTCTGCTGGAGGAAGAAGGGAAGTGATTTTTGCCAATTTTTTCTCCCCCTGCTCCTTCAGACCCCCATCTCTTCTGAAAATCTTCCCTATGGGGATGCAGAAATCTGTGGAATAGTGAAACCGATGCCACAGAGGGAGGGAAACAGGCAATAAGAAACCCCACCGTTCCCCCAGGGAGGAGTCTCTCCTGGACTGCAATTCTTTATGTGAGCTCAAAGGCAACTCTGAAACCCACACACTATTAGGAATCACCTGGTGAAGCAGAAACTGGTTTTACCCTAGGCCTGTATGATAAAATAAAAATAAAATCATAGCCTTCTACAAATGCTCTTTGGGGAAAAGGCATCTTTAAACTTTGCAATCAAACTGGCAGGTTAACTGATTCATTTTGGTTTTCTCATCAACATGTTTATATAGTATATCCACTGCGTCATTTTTTGCTATAGTTAAAAATCATTTTGGAAAAATACAGTTGTTTTTAACATAAACAATGATCAAGTGGATGATCCTCCAGTGATCTGCCCCATAGTCTGAATAGTAACCATGAAGCTTATTAGTCAGCATGCTCTCAAAAATATTACTGCTAGAGATGCTTCACTTACTATTAATCAACTCAGCTCAACCCAGCTAGAGAAGAGGAAATGTACGTTCACAGCCCAAAATACGGCCTATTGAAGTGGCATACATTTTTCTAGGCTAATCCTCAGGTGTGATGGAAAATGTAGTCCAGCAATATCTGGAAGGCACCACGCTGGCTACTCCTGTCCTATACAGTATGCCTGTGACTATGAAGTCTTGCATGGACTAGCATTGCAACAACTTTAAGCTCTTTTAAACAATCCAGATGCTGGACATGCAAGCAAATGGTTATGAATTTATGTCCTAAAATACTAGCAAACACAATGATATTGCATCTAGCATATTGTTAGAGTGACCCTGTGCACATGCTCAAGAGAGAGATTAAAGAACTTTGAAAAGCCAAAAGAAAAAGCCAAGAACCACATATGTCTTTAGAGAAAGAGAAGAAGAAAGAAACTATTCACATACAAAGCCTCATGTGCTGAAATTCTAAATTCATTTCTAAAAAAAATACTGTTAAAAGGACATCCTTTTTGTGTTTATTCCATATTCTACCATCAGAAGCAGCTTAATTTAAAAATACTTCAAGCACTTAAAAACGTATACTTAAAAATAACATTCACACACAGAAGGAACATTTACATGCACCAGAAGGCTTATAATAACCCGATTACCTTTAGGTGGAAAATATGACTTGCTTTCAGCTTTATGAGGCCAGTCTACTACAAGAGGTCCAAACCTACGAAAGCTGGCAGTGATTTCATCTACATAAAAAAAAGTTGTAAAGACCTTTAGAAAGGGAACTTCAAGGAAAATGACAATATTTCCCTTCCTCTCCCCACACTGAACATTACTATTTCATAGTACCTTCATCAATGTCAGGAGGCAGACCTCCAACAAACACCTTCCTAGAATAACGTTCCACTCTTTCACCATTTTGACAGCGGGTTGGAGAGCTAAGACCCGATGATAAAGACTGGTCACCATGACTGTCATCTAAGAAGCCATCTTCGAAAGGAAAGAGTGAAGAACGACCTGCAAAAAATGTTGTAGTGTATTACAAGTCAGAACATTACACTTTTCTGGAAAGACATATTCAATGAACAAACTAAGAGTGTTTTAAAATGTTTCAGTTCATGCTTCCCCCAATGGGTTTTAAAATCCCTTCTATCATGCTATGCAATCACTGTTGTAGCCAGAGGTAAGTGAATTCTATATTGCAGATGAGTACAAAAATTTTCTCTTGCCTACCTCTACCCCATATTACAGCATGACTTGAACAGTGGTACTCAGATCACTAACCAATAATACACTGTTACTCTAGATGAGCGTCTACAAGTGTCAAATTGATGATGTAAGACACCTGTGTCAAATATAGGTGGGTTCAGATGCTGTGAATAATAATTATATGATCATCATGCAACATGAGGGACGAGTTGAGGTTTGCTTTCAGCACTTCTGCTGGGAATCTGTCCTTTCCTGGGGCTTTACCACATGCCTTGGAGTTGATGGCGTAGACAAATGCCAACCAACCAACCACCACACAATTTTTTTAATATGTACTTGATCCTCCAACCATACATGTGAATAAGTGTCATTTCTTATATCAATACATTTCAAGCATGTTACCAGCAATGACCAGTTTGAACATGTGCAGATGATGAGGGTAATGTTGGGACCCCCTTACTCATTCATCCAGATGCACACAATACACACAGTGGTCAAGTGAGTTCAGAAATTAATTTTGGCTAGCATGGAAAGAGGAGATAAAAGATGATAAAGTAGCCCATTCTGTTTGTAGATCACAAAATTTATCTGTAGCCATTTTCATGTTTTATAGCACTGATTAGAATTTAGGTCTGCAGGTAGGATTTGGTAAATGTTAATGTATTTTGTCCAGCATCTATGTTTTAGTTGCCTAGGAAATTATTATTATTATTGTAATAAAAATCAAACACAGAAGATTAATCTCTTATTCTGTCACCTGGAATGTTCATAATAATTATAATGGGCAATATACGATAAATTTAGGAAACTAAAAAGTTTTGAAAGACACCTGAACAATTTTAAACACATGGGGGATCACTCCGTGCTAAGGTGCTTGCTTTGAAGAAATGCTGGATGGATAAGAAAATTTCATCTTAAAATGTAAAGAATAAAGTGGAAGCACGAGCAAGTCCTAATTAATGTAAGTAGCCAATATAGTATGATCGCATCTGATGCACAATTAACTTGCATGATTTTTACTTTGCACAGTCTGTTTGAAAGCCCACAAATTAATTGCATACAAGGTGGAGAGCTTAAAAGGTCATTTTGTAACTTGGTTTTCAGACTTGCTTATTGGGCTCTGGGATGCTCTCTGCCTTGCTTGGAAGGTAAGGATGGTCATGTGGGAGCAGTTCAGGTATGCAGTGGTGCCTCGCAAGACGAAATTAATTCGATCCGCGAGTTTTGTCGTCTTGCGGTTTTTTTCGTCTTGCGAAGCACGGTGTCGGGAAAGTTTTGGAAAAGCTTCAAAAACCTCAAAAAGCTTTAAAAACCTCAAAAAAGGCTACCACACCGTGTTCTATGAGTTGCTCCTCGAAGTCAAGTCGCAACTGTATTAACGGTGTTAAGAAAAAGGAAACAAACTTGCAAGACGTTTCCGTCTTGCGAAGCAAGCCCATAGGGAAAATCGTCTTGCGAAGCAGCTCAAAAAACAAAAAACCCTTTCGTCTAGCGAGTTTTTTGTCTTGCGAGGCATTCATCTTGCGAGGTACCACTGTACATGTTTTTGTGTATACACACCCCTGCAGAACATAACACCCTTGCAAGATCCAATCATACTGTAATTCCTATTTTGGATACACTCAAAAACTATGGGTTGGATCTCAAGATAAAAACAAGTACATGGAAGGAAAGTTTTGCATGCCCGCCCTCCTCTCCTCAAATACCCACCTGTGCCCCACTCCAGGGTCACTCCAGAGGATCAGAGGGCCTTCCTAAACAATGTAGGAAGGGGTGTGGATGGGGTGTGCTAAGGGAGTAGAGGACTGCCCGAAATCAGACAGAGGTCTACTCAATTCCTCACCTCCTGCAGTGCCCCCAATGTCACATGCCAAAACCTCTGAAAAAGATTTTTGGGAGGTTCAGGTGGCTGTAAGGAACATAAAATTTTCCTTCTGTAAACTTCCTTAGGTTAAATTAACTTATCTTTGGATCCAAGTCCATGTTGGAAAACATTTTCATCAATAATTAGTTTCTTCAGTCTTTCCCTGTTCATGTGTCAGCGCTGCTCGGTGAAATTTTATCTTGACAAGGAAGCTTGTTAGAAAGAATGCTGGTCATCTCAGCTTTCACTTTAAAATGTTACGCTAGTTCAGAATTGTAGAGATAGTCTTAACTCTGTGGGTCTTTCTAGATTTTTGTTTATTTAAGGTATTTGTATCCATTTCTCTCAAAAATTAATCAAGACAGTTAAAATAATAAATACCAGCTAAACAAATTTATAAGCAACAAAAATCATTTAAGTTGCTTTAAAATCCAGTAGGTCAAAAGTTGTAAATGTTTCTAGCATAATACTAAGCAGCAGCACCCAAAAACACTCTAAATACATTTTGCTATTCCATAGACTTGGTGCCAAAATAGAAGGCAGTTTGCTTCATGCGTGCCCATCGTTATCCAATAAGCATCCATGGCACTGATGCATCAGCAATCCCCAAAGCAAGGCAACTGCAACATCTATTCCATGAAAATGTCAACCTACAAACTTTTTTCATTTTTAATAAACCTGTTTTATTATCATTTTAAATATAATTTTCCAAAGTTTCATTATCTGGAAACAGTTTTTCAAAATGGAATTTTACATGTGAGTAAAACAACAACAGAAGTTCCATGTGCAAGATGACTCAAAAATTCTCTATTATTTTCTCTAAAATTCAGTAAAAGAAAATAGAGACTAGGATAATGACTCTTTAATGCGTTGATTGTTTTGCTTTCTCCTTTGGTGAACTGAAATGCGTGTGTTCTTGCATTCCCTCTTAATTAGATAATGGTGTTGGTAACAGTTATTCTGCATTCACAACTTTAATTTTAAAAGTGAAACAATTCAATATTTAGTTAAGGACAGAAATGAAAAGGACAGAAAAGTGTAACATGCATGCAGAACAATAGCAACGAAATATAAGTAGAAAAGGGGAGGTGTCTCAGATCTAATATTCCCCTCTAGCCTCAAGCACCATCATGTAACCCTGCCTAGAAATGATGGAAAAAGCCAGGTATCCACTGCCGTAAGAGTTAAAAAAAGGAGGCAGATAGAAAAATAAGAAAACTTCCCTATGCAAGTTAGGATATGAACTATGAGAATATTCCTTTTACTAGTTTTGATTAACTAACAAACTCTGCTTAGCTGGGGGCGGGGGCAGGGGATCCAGTTGCTAATGTGTTCCCTGCTCCACATAGTTTTCTTCAGTGCTTATATTTCAAAGACAGATAGTATTTGTGCCTTTTAAAATAGAAGGTTGCAAACAAGACTAAGATATTTTTACTCTAGCCCTTAGTATATTAACAGTGCATTGCTATACATGTCTACTAAGAAATATTTTAATGGGATTTATGATTTTAATGGAACTTACTTACAACTAAGTATTTAGGATTGCAGCCATGTCATGGCTGATATGGAAATTTGAGAAGCATGAAATCCTGTAGGCCCTCACTGGTCAGCCAGCCAGTGGCACATCATTGGAATGATTGGCAGATATAGTGTTTGGCCATATTATTCAAGTCTGGAAATGGTGACTGAGTAGACTGGCTACAGACAGAGAGCATTGGGAGGGAGTGGGGAGGTTGATACCTGTAACAATATTTCTTGAAATGGTCATCTGTGCTGTCAAACAGCCCTATGCAAATCAACATTTGGGACTTTCTTTTCATCATGAAGTATCCAAGCACAAAAGTACAGCCTATGGTCCCTTAAGCATGTACCCCAAGGACGGCCCTTGGTTTTGGGGATCATTGGTCATGCTGGCTGGGGATGGTGGGAGTTGGACTCCAACAACATTTGGAGGGTCACAAAGTTCGTTATCTATGCTCTAGGTCATGGGTAGGCAAACTAAGCCCCGGGGGCCAGATCCGGCCCAATTGCCTTCTAAATCTGGCCCGCGGACAGTCTGGGAATCAGCGTGTTTTTACATGAATAGAATGTGCCCTTTTATTTAAAATGCATCTCTGGGTTATTTGTGGGGCATAGGAATTCATTCATTCCCCCCAAAAAATGTAGTCCGGCCCCCCATAAGGTCTGAGGGACAGTGGACCGGCCCCCTGCTGAAAAAGTTTGCTGACCCCTGCTCTAGGTGCTGAAGTTTGCTGTATGCAAACACAGAAGCCGTATGTGGGATTGCACAGAAACCAGTAAGAATAACATTCTCCTTTAAAGGGCCACAGTAGCCTGCCCTCCCCCCATCTCTCTCTCTCCTAGGAAACTTCAAGACTAACATGCTAATTTCAGCAGAAACCTTTCTCTCAATTTTAAAATGAGAAGCCTGGTTTTTTAAAAAAACCTCAGCATAACTTTAAACTGAAGCTGCTCCTTCAACAATGTAATAAATCATACTGCATTACTGAAAAACCATCAAGGCAGAATATGTGCATGGGTTAAATTACTCAAGTTCAGTTTCAAGTATTAAATAATAACTTTAAAAATTGGCAGCAAAACAATGATTTGTGATAAATTAACCACAAGCAATTAGAAATCTGTATTGCATGATTGCAGAAACAGAATCTGATACAGGAAAGCTGTACAGAGCATTACAGACTTGGGGGTGGCATGATAAAATAATAATTATCCACAGTATATACACATATTATTATGGTCTATCATAGTCTCTGATGAAAACTGAAATGGGTCATAGCTTTAGGAGCTGTGCCTGGGGAAAAGTAAAAACCTCCAGAAGTCCCCAAAGGCACAGAAACAGCGGTACAATACATGTATAGTCTGGTGTGCCTCTTCTAGGCAAATGTTTGATATTTTTTATCAGCATCTATAATCTTACATGCTTAAAAGCAACAATTTAAAAAAAATAATAGAAAATTGAGCACTTCAATTTTTCATTTTTTTGTTAAAGCATGTGAGATCATAGATGTTGGTCCACACCTGTTCACATAGATCTTTGAAAATAGTTAAACTTTTTTTGCCATTAGTAATATATCAACATTTCATGAATATTTTACTTTGGACAGTTCAGCAGCTACTGTCTACCACTACAGCACTGTGTTTTTTAAGAGAAACAAACAAAATCTCTCTCCTTTCAAAAACACTTCTCCGCTATGTTCATATAACTATAAAGCTATATATCCAGTATTGGGACTAGTGCCACTATGGCAGCAAGGGGAAAACACTCCTGTTGCCCCACAGAAATAACCAACTGTACATAGCCTCAATTTGCTGTTCCCATCACCATATTCAGTAAAATTTAAAATATTTTTTTTACCTCGTCTCCGCCCATAGCTCCTGGCTGCATGTAAATACAGAAAAATATAGTGGGTATTGGCATAACAGTAATTACTATATATATTGTTTTCGGTAAAATTCAGCTTTTGAAGAAAGTAGTTTAAGTAATTCAAACAGTCCTAGTGTTAGTGACTGAGAGAAGCACTGTCTGGGCAACATGTTTCCCCAATAGCAAAGAATCTGTAGTAGGTGTCTAGAGGATATACTTGAATGATTTTTATGTAGAAAGCATTTTTAAAAGAGTTCCTCACAGAACTCAGTAGAAAGAAATAAATACAGCACTGAAAACTCAGCAATGTGCATTGTCAAAACATAACCACCCGTCAGTATCTGTTTAAATGGCTAGACATAGAACTAAAAGTTGTGTGTGTGCACATATTTGTATTTCACAGCAACACTAATTTTCAGTATGAAGTACGAAGTATGAAGAAACTCACTAGAAAACTCTAATTCTTACAAAAATGTTCAACGTATTTTTAATTATTTTTTTTAAATTACAGCCCCCAAAGTGGGGTTTGATAGTTTTTTACAAACCTTGACAAAACTGAGCTATGATAATAGTACATGGGTTACTAAATGTAGTAGAAGAAACAGCAGAAGGGTGCTTATCTGATTGAGGCAGACAACTGAAACAAGCCATTTGGTAAATGAAGCTCTGAGTTAATTAAATGGGTTAGTGTGAATTTCTATACATTGCTTTATGCAGCTGAATCTTTATGAAGCTCCCACAATACTACCTGACACAGCATCTCTGCATTTTAGTCACACACGCTTTTCCTAGAAATGCAAGGTCTATTATCACACTGAGAACAGCAAATGGATATGGTTTTCATTTTCTGATTGCTGCCTCCCTGCTGCAGCAATCTCTGAATTTTGTATTCTCCTTGTATTTCTCTTCTATCACAGAGAAAAATGCAGGCAGGCTGGGTAGGTGGGGGAATACTGTCCAAAGGTGTTCTTATATTTACGGAGGGGGGCATGGTTTAAACACAGAACTTTATGGAATTCAGCCAGACAAATAATCCTTTGTATGAAGCTAGCTTAATGGACATCCCTATCTATGTGGCAACCAGAAAGCACTTCCCAAATAAAAATAGTGAATAGCTCATGACTGCAAGACGAACATTTTTGGCATTGTAGCTGAAGAAGATTTGACTCTTCTAGCCAATATGTAGCTCATTTTCACATTCACACAACATAATCTTAACATAATTCAAATGGTTGTGACCCACATTCAGAGAGGAGGCCCAATGAATCAAATGGCTTAATTTAATCATGGCAATAGGATTTCTTGGAGTATGACTTACTCTGTTTATTTTTAAAATAGGTATGTTCTGCTGTTTCAGCTATGGACTGCATAACCCTTGGTGGAAAGGGTGTGTAGGCAGTGGGCTGTGTAAGAACTAAAGTGGCAAGAAAATTTTATCCCTCTTGTCCTTTAATAAGGTCAAAATATAATAAATATTTTGGAAACAGCAATAAAAAAGCAATAGCAACAAAACATAGCAGCAGTAAATGAACATTAATAATCAGGCAGTGATTATGAACATTAATAATCAGGTCAGTGATCGCTTTCAGTGGGGTGACTGGAGTGCATGGAAGGGAACATATAAAAAGAGAGGTGTCCTTATGGTACTCCAGTTCTGAGCAGGGGTTTAAAAGAAAAGCCCGCAGAGTTGAGCCCAAAGACCAAACAGGATTGGAATATTATACTCTGGTCTCATAAGCCCACAGTCTTCCTAGAAACTAATGAGATAGTATGCTGAGGTTACTCAGCTCTGATAATATTTCAGCCTGGAACTCCACATGACTTCACTCAGAGATTTCATGTAGCTATTGAGAAACAGGGCAGGGTTGCAGTTTGGGAGGGACGGACATACTTCACAGCCTCAACTTTTGGAATGCAGAACTGGCATTCATTCACATGTCTTAAATATGCCATTTAATCTATGTTCTATATATGAAATTTTAGGATACTTAACACATCTATCGGGGCCAAACAAACCTCTGAAAGCTTGGATTCAATGTGCAGAAACTGAAGCTAAACAATTGGTCCTGCTGTGCTAAGCTAGTTCAGATCCAGAAATTTGGACACAAGATTTTACCAACATGGCTGTGAAAGAGAAAATTATTTATCTTAAGTGTGACTGCCTGGAAAAATTTCAAAGTATTTGGCAAAGATTCCTTGAGTTTTTCCAAAGTCTTAGATTTCTTAAGAAAACTTCATGCAATTTAATGTTTGCATAAATATGGGGTGGGGCAGGTTATGTAACTTTTCTTTTAATGTATTATTTCTTTTGTTTCACTGATCATTGTTCCCCTTGGCAAGGGATAGGATGAGGGAGGGAGGAAATTATAGCTAGTTTTGAAATGCTTTTATTTATCACATTTCTTTGTGCTTTAAGTGCCAACTTTAAAAAAAAAAGGACTGAAAGAAGATGGAATCCTGTGGCATCCAATTAATGAAAGGGCCAAGAGGCAGAGCAATAGATTCCCACCATCACCTTCTGGCACTAGCCTCCAGAACCAACCTAATGCTACATTATCAGTCATCATTCAGAAGCATCAGCTTTTAAAAATTAAATGCAATTTTAAAAAGCCCCACAAAAGCCACAATAATATTTAAGAAATTTTATAAACCATTTAATCAAAAAAAATCAAAATCTTGTTTGTCAAGGGAGGTGATTTATATCATCTTAGTGGCACACAGACTATCTATGTTCCACCTCTATCATGTTAAGTTGAAGAGCTCCACCAGTTGGTTTTTGCACAAGTGCCTTCGCCCTTCCAAAGCTAAGATTACCCATGCCTACTGGGTCCTGCAAGATGAGCGTCACATGGGTCTTAAATCGAACACCCAATGCTACCATATCTCTATTCTCTATTCCATTCTGTATATCTTGGATCTCATCCTTTGAACAAACGTTTCCTCTACGGCTTCTGCTTCCTTTCCACCAACCATTCACCACAAGATCCTGTTTACCCTTCAACAGCCACTATTTGAGACCCTGAATACTGTTCCACTCCAAAGCTCAACATTCCTTTCCTCCACTTTTTGGAGTATCCCAGGTATAAGAAAATCCAGACTTAAGGAAAAGGAATAAATAATAATAATAATAATAATAATAATAATAATAATAATAATAATAATAATAATAATTTGATATTTATACCCCGCCCATCTGGCTGGGCTTCCCCAGCCACTCTGGGTGGCTTCCAAAAAAATATTAAAATGCTGTAATACATCAAACATTAAGTGCAGGAAGGCAGTGATTTGGAGGAGAATGTCATATGGACAACAGTGAAATAATGAAGGAATAGGAAGCTTACACTAGCCACATTAGACAACAGTATGGATGAGCCCATAGTTCACTGGTTCAGAAGTACCAGAAAACTGTGGCCAGAGACCATCTTGGCTATGAGATTTGGACAGCCCATTCCCTGCCCTGCAGGCCTTTTTCCACCTGGCCTGGGAGGCTGAGGCCTGATTCACTCCAGCTACAAAAGTTGAGACTGCTGAAGAGATGAGAGATGGTTTTGGCTGCCTCTTAGGGCAAACCCAGGTCATCAAACCGGAACTTCCACAGCTGCCACTTGCCATGGACAGTGGTTAGTAGCAACAGATGCAAATATGTTCTATGCTTATGATAATATTTTATTCTCTTGCTAATTATGCTGCTTTAAGAGTGCATTTTTATTTGCCTTCTAGTAAAGTTTTCTTTTGTAATGTTTAAGGGTTTTTTTTTGTTAACTCTGCTGTGTCAAATGTACATTCCGCAGTTGCTCTCTGTAATGTTTTAAATCTTTGAGATAATATTTTAGTTTCCTGGTAATTATGTTGCTTTGAATGTATACTTTATATTTTGACTTTCTTCAATAATGTTTTATTATGGATTGCTTTGTTTGGTGTTTAAAGATAGGTTGTAAACGACAGATTTTTTTCTTAACAATATAAAGCGGTATAGAAATGAAATGAATAATGATGATAATGATGAATAATTATTTATTAACTACCTAGTCTTCAATCTAAGGTTCAAGGGTGGGTCACAACATTAAAACACAAGATTAAAAACAATTAAAAACAACTTACAACCATAACTCCCCCCCTCCGCTCAAAAAAATTTAAATGATACTAATGACTAAACATAAAGAAAATAATATGACATGTTAGTAAAACGTTTCCATGGAACTAGGGAAGGAAGGACAAAAATGCTTGGATAATGAAAATGCTAATTAATCTCAGTCAACTAAATACTATCTATCAAAAATATATCTCAACCCATTCCTCCTTTTGTCCTAGAATAGGAGCAGAATAGAAGCAAGAAGCAAGTTGGCAAGTCACTGCATGGCAAAAGTGCACAAACCACATCTAAATCTAATACTTTGGTTTGAAGCAACTTCCTATGAAAAAATCAACTGACTGCTGTGGATAATATGTCTTACGTTTGTTAATAGCTGATTTTTCCAGAGTCTAGCTTCCAGTTATACTGGAAAAGTCAACTACACTAAAAGCCAACTTTTTCAACATTTATCTTGCTCCTAATGAAGCCCAAACAGTAGCCAAGGTTTGTTCTATGGGTTACCACTTATGGTTTGTCTAGGGGAGATAAACCACAAGCCTGGATTCAGACATAATGCTAAGCCAAACCATGCATTAACTCGCAGCAGGGCAGCAGCAGGACCAGAGGAGCAAAGCAGTTGCAATCTCTCTGAGATCCAGCATGTTTGCTCATTTGTGCTAAGCCTTGGTTTGGCTTAGCATTACATGTTAACCAGATCTGTGTGTAGTTACAGAACACATTCATGTTACTAAAATATATCCTGCAATAGAGATTTTGTCTATTAGTGTGACTCTGTTCTCAAATGATGAGGTCAGCCTCCAAGGGACTCATTCCCTAAAACATGTCTAGCATTGGATTCTGAAGTAGGTTTAAGCACAAACGGATCAGTTCCTTTTGAAAACCTAGTATTTACTCTCACAATGGAACTTAGCTAAAATTATAGAACATTTAATATGTGGCCTGTAACTACAACAGGGTGATATTGGTTCTATTAGGTAACCTTCAGGCAGAACATTAGAGAGACATCTCTTGGATACTATTTTGCTACTGTCCCTGTTTACAGTGGGGAATTACCTCAGAACTATGTTAAGACGCGGGTGGCACTGTGGGTTAAACCACAGAGCCTAGGGCTTGCCGATCAGAAGATCAGCGGTTCGAATCCCCACAACGGGGTGAGCTCCCATTACTCGGTCCTTGCTCCTGCCAACCTAGCAGTTCAAAAGCACGACAAAGTGCAAGTAGATAAATAGGCGTGAAGGTAAATGGCATTTCCATGCACTGCTCTGGTTTGCCAGAAGCGGCTTAGTCATGCTGGCCACATGACCCAGAAGCTGTATGCTGGCTCCCTCGGCCAATAAAGCGAGATGAGCGCCGCAACCCCAGAGTCGTCCGCGACTGGACCTAATGGTCAGGGGTCCCTTTGCCTTTTTATGTTAAGACAGAGATAGTCAATGTGATGTTGAACTACAGCTCCCAGCAACCCTGACAACTTGGCATTCTGCCTATGGTAGTGCCACAACATCTAGACATACCACAAAAGCTATACCACAAAAGCTACCCACTAAGCAAGGGAAGAGTTAGGCCAGAAGGAATTTAATCATCAGCCATGTTTTTCCTTTAGTCACTGAAAACCTTCATGCTGCAATATTCTGGTGTGAATAAACGTGTGCCTTTGAGCATATGCAGAATGCCCTTCACTAACCAATAAACAAGTATTGTAAAGCTACTGTTCTTGACTTCCCAACATATGGTATTAGAGTTAAAGACCTGAACAGGGCATAATTCTCAGGCTGCTGAAGCCCAAAATGTTTCACTACACTAAAAAAAGGTACTGCATTGCACATGCAGGTCCTGTTTCCTGAACACAATGCATTACCTGGAAATTTTTCATTTGGCAAGCCTTCACATAACATATCCACAATTTCTATTATTTCCTATGGAAATATTTCTAAAGCTGGATTTGCCTGCTCTTGTCCCCCCGCCCCCCAAGGGTTTGTTCCTGAAATGGCTGCAGCCAATCAGCAAAAGAGAGATAAAGTTTTTTATATACAGTATATAAAAAACCCTGATTTGTCCAATCTCTCCTGCTCTCTGATTTGTCTGATCTCGCTCCCCTTTTCCTCTCTCCATGGTTTCTTCTGGAAAATGGCTGCTGCCAACCAACAAAGCACGAACAAACAAGGAAGTAAGGAAGGAAGTCAGCTGTTCAGATAAGTGAACCTGCTGAGTGAGATTTGGGCATAATCCTTTAAGTGTGGATAACTGATCTTTCAGATAGCAAGCATGCAGATAGTGGGACCTGCATATACTGGGCTAAGTGAATGAGGTGACATAGTAGAAAGACACTCCTATGCTTCACATAGAATCATAAAACTGTAGAGTTGGAAGGGACCCTGAGGGTTATCGAATCATCCCCCCCTACAAAGCAGAAATCTCAACTAAAGCATCCATGACAAACAGTCATCTAACTTCTGCTTAAAAACCTCCAGCGAAGGACAGGGAGCATAGCTGTCAACGTTTCCCTTTTTTTAAAGGGAAATCCCCTTATTCCCCGCAAGAAAAGGGAAAAGTTTACAGCTATGACAGGGAGTTCATTCCACAGTCCCGTACTACTGGTTTTGGGAGAGGTTTTTAAGTTGGGGTTACCAGCATGGCGTCCATGGGCACAACGACACCCATGAGGACTTCCTCTGGTACCTGCAAAGCCTCTGAGCCCTCTCCCACTCAGAGCCCCATTTGTCATGAGATGGAAAAGGTGACTATCCCCCTCCCCATGTTTGAAAAGTACAAGAAAATGAAGGAGCATTGTTCTTAATTATAATGTTTTGCATGCAGCCTTTCAGCAAGTTATGCTCAAAGTGATGATGATGCCAGAACAATGGGCACTTCTACTTCGTCTGTTAGCTCTATTTGCTTTTCAAGAATCAGATGAGCAGCAGAATAGAAAGTGGAATGACTGAGAAAGGATAAAGTATAAAGGGGGACAATCTGGAAAACTGGGAGCAGGAAAATGGTGCTCCACAGGAGTCAGAGAAAGAGAGAAGAGAGGTGAGACATGCATAAGAGATTCAGCAAAACATCTTCTCAAAGCTGCATTTTTATTTTACACACCACCAATAATTACCATCAAATCTCAAATCACATCCATCTCCATTGATTGCATTGTCAAAAATCACAGATCTGTTATTTCCAGCACTGCCATGGGAACATGTATATAAGGCACAGATTATTATGGATCCTCATGATTTTATAAGGGATCTCCACAAAATCAGCATCTGATCAAATATTACCTCTGTGTCCATAGATGTGTTCTGTTATTTGTTTCACATTATAGTAGCTGTAGACACTGATTAAATGTACATAGACTTTTCATCTATTTTTCCTTTCTCTTCACTGTACCCAAAAGACAAATATTTAAAAGCATATTGCGCATAGCCAAATTATATAAAATGTATTATAAGAAGATAAATGTAAACTTACTATTGAGAGCCATAATGTTATCTGTTCCTGGATGATGAAAATTTATACCCATACGACCTAAAAAATAGAACATTTTGGCATCATATTTTATGTTCAGTAGGCTACTTTTCAATTTCACAAATACATAAAAAATGGTAATGAAACTAGAAAAGATTTGCTTTTTATATACTTCTCTATAAGAATGTTTAATAGTAATTATGCATTCTATTTGCTAAAGAAAAATGAAAGGGGAAGATCAGAGGAACTTTAAACACTGCCAATTTCACTTTATTAATTTAATTAAATGTAATATTTCAGTTCAGACTTACACTTTTTAAATTATTAACTTGACAGACCTATGTTAATCATTTAGTATTATTTTATCCCAACCAACCCCAAAGAAGTCCAGAGCAGCAAACAAAACAATAAATATTTATAAAAACAATATAAAGCATATATTGGGGGGGGGTCTTATTGTAGCACATGCCACTTTTGGACTATCTTCAAGGGCAGTTACATGTAGAGCACACTGCAGTAGTCCAGACTGGAGTTTACTACAGCTTGAAGTACTGAGACCAAGCTATCACCATTTAGGAATGGCAACAGCTGACAAAGTAGCTTAAGCTGGGCATAAGCATTCCAAGTCACAGAACGTATTTGAGACTTCAGTGACAGATTGGAATCCATGAGTATTCCCAAACTATGAACCTGTGCCTGCAGAGGAAGTGCAACCCCTCCCAAAGCAGGTCATTCAATGAATTACAAGACATAGAAACCAGCCACCCACAGCTCATCTGCCTTACTAAAACTGAGCTTCGGTTTATTGGCCTCCATCCAGTGCATCATGCTTCCAGACACTACTCCAACACCTTCACAGCCTCTCCAGATTCAGATGGAATGGGAAGAGAGCTGTGGGTCATCAGCATACCAATAACACCATGATCCAAATACCCAGATGACAACTCCCAATCATTTCATAAATATCAGCATAGCTAAATAGCCCCAAAACTATGGGGCAGGGCAACAGACCCTTGATGCTACTTTCTGGCAGTGACCCCAAAGACGGGAGCAGAACCTCTTTAACAGAGTGTCTCCCAAACCCCTGAGTTGTTGCAGAAGGACACCATGGAAAGCAGTGTCAAGTGTGCTGACACATCAGGGAGTGCCAGCATGGTTGCATTGTTGCCATGTCTCTCCTGATAAAGGTGACAGCCATCAAACCAACCAGGGCTGTTCCGCTGCTAAAATATTTATGTAATACTATAATATTAATTATTATATTGTTATTATTCTTCAACTATTCAATTCAATAATTTAAATTATTTAGTTATAGCATGTAACTAACACCTTAAGCAAAATCTTGAACCCTAGAAATGAAAGTATTTGTCCCTCTTCACTAGCTCAGCAAGAAAGAACTGCTGTTGAAAACTCTCACAGAAGCCCTCTTCAAGTGTTCCTTTTGACGCAATTACATTGCACTCAGGAGGAAGTGGGGGAAAGCACTCTCCTCCATCACCATCCCCTTCCGTGAGTTGGAGGGCAACTGTCTGCAGCACTCATTCACGTGGACTTCCCGTTGGTTCTAAATTCTGCAAGGAAGCCTACTCTACTTGTAGACTTGTAGACTACCCTGCTGTAGACAGTCACCCTCCAACTCATGAAGGGAGATGACTGAAGGACAAGTATGGCTGGCCCCCATTTCCTCCTCAATGCAATGCTAATTGTGAGGAGAAAGGAACATCTGAAGAATTCTCATGATTTCAGCCTATTGGATTGTTGCTTGTTACTGTCAACTCCAACTCTACTAAATCACTGGAAAGAAGAAGACAACCCACAGATGTTCAGTGCCTGCTTAATGGGATGCTGATAGTTAAGACAGAAATAAATCCCTTCTTCCATTATTCTGAAAAGAAGCAGAAGCATCCTTGAGGCACATAGCTTAGAATCACAGAATTGTAGAGTTGGAAGAGACCCCAAGAGTCATTTAGTCCAACCTGCTGCAATGCAGAAAATGCTTAGAGACCATCAAGATGTGAATATAAAGAATCCTCTCTCTGCCTTGCTTCTGGCAACTTTTGTGACCCTCTTTGATTCACTAAAACTTGTGTGGTGATTGAAAGAGGACTGCAATAGCAGTATGCTGTATTTTTGCAAATTAAGAGACAGTTAAACCAGAAATTTTCTAGTTTGAATCTTGCCTACCATGAACTCAGCTGGTGTTTAATTTTGGTATGTTTGTAATTTTTACTGTTTTTGGTTTTTATTGTTTTATTGTGTTGTTTTGTTTTTATATAAGTTTTATTTTGTTTTAAGGGGAGGGGTCAGGGCTGCCTGGGAGTGGGTCCCAGCCAACAAAATGTCTGGGGCAGGTTCCACAGGGGAGGGGGGTGCACTGGGACAACCGATCTCAGTGATCACGGGTAGGAGGAGGAGTTACGCTAAGACCAGACCATGTCCTTACCGAGGAGGCAGGTTTAGTCGTTATTTGAGGACTATCCCTGCTTCCAGGTCTGGTCTTGTCCAGACGGATACTGGAATCAGCAAGGGATACCCACATGACCTGAAGGTGCTGCTGTGCAATGTAAGGTCAATGATTCATAAGACCACTGCCATCCCTGAGAGGACTTGACCTGGCACGTGTAACAGAGACTTAGTTGGATGAAGCAGATGGGCCTGTTACTGCTGCTGCAGTTTAAAAGATCTTAATAGAAGCCTCACTTGACATTGGAAGGAGAAAAAATCCACCTTCACTGGAATTTGCTACCCACATTGTTTCATATTCATTCATGGGATATCCATTTCCAAGAATAACAAGCAAGTTATATACTGACTTCTCACTGTGGTATAGTAGGGTAGCCCTCTACCCAATATGCAATCACCCATTCCCCGAAGGGAGGCGTGCACACTACCCAAGCAAGAAACAGCATGTGAATACAATCTAATCTCTAGCTATGTCTGCAGAAGAATCCCATATGGCACACAAATGTCTGCCAAAATAGTTATCAGCATAATGACTGCAATAAAAGGTTACCCAACCATTTAAATTGTTTTATGGTTAGATATGAGTGAATAAATGAGCATGCTATGAATTATGGCTCTCAATGCATATTTAATCTCTCTCCTCCTTTCCTTTGCTGAGGCTGGAATTGTGCTATTCAACCAGATATAAAAATAGAATCAAGAGTGTGACATCTGGGGTGTGTGTATGTGTTCATTCAGTCACTCTGCCAGGTGCTGCCTGTGTGACATTTTGTCACCTGCCCTTTGCCTTCTATTTTTAAGTTTCTCTTGACAACTACCTTCCCAGAAAAGCAAAAATGTCAAATTGTATGAGCAGCCACGCATACTTGTTCTTACAATACTAAGAGCTCTAAATAGGAAAGTACACATGATAGTTTCGGTCTTCAGCTCCTTGAGTGAATAGCTTAAAACTGAAATACTTCGCATTAATTTTTGTTTGAGAAGTTGATCAGCAATAGAATTAGTAATTACTGCTGTTTCAAAAATATCTCAATAACATATAATATTAGTCAGCATTCTGTGTTTTAGTTTAGCTGTAACCAAGAATCTTAGCTTTTAGGGAGAAGACTACAGTAGTAATAACGTCTGACTGAAACTAATACAAATACAGCTGTGTTTTTTGGTTGATATTTTCAGTTTCAAGTTCAAAGTGGTTAAGGACAAAGTAACTTTAAGTATACCAGTTGAAATGTTTGCATCATGTACGGTATTCAGCTTGCAAATCATGACAGGGCAGCTATTGCCAACCCTGACTGGGTCAATAACACTTACTCTTCCCCTCATTCAACTTCTCTGGCTTTGGCGCTCCCTATTTTTCCGGCCAGGGAGGAGGCACTGGTGGAGGAAAGGGGGGAGCGCACCACCCCCGGCACCATCGGTGAGGGTACCATCGTGGCTGTGTCCCGGACACCCGCTGCACACACCCCACGGTGCCAGGCGCCACACCCCCGCAGGCAGGCACTGTGTGCCCCCAGGACGCACACCACACCCCGGGACACGCACCACACCCCCATGGGTGGCATGCTACGCCCCCGGGACACGCACCAGCCACGCCCCCACCTGCTTTCCATCCCCAGTGCTGGAGCATGCAGCTTCGCCACTGGGAGGTGGTGTGGGGACAGGATTTTCCTGACCAAGAAAGCATAGCAGAGAGCTGTGCCAACAGCGCCTGTATTCTCCCTCAGTGGTGGGCCTGCATGCAGTTACTTGGGGCAACTTTAATTCACCACAAGGCACGTGCTTAATTGCAACAAGTCTGAATCATTTATTTCCCACGTTTCAGACAAAGGTCTGCCAAAGAGGCTAACATCTGTTGGCAAAATGAGACACAAGCCCTGCCGTCATGCTTACAAGCTTAAAAAAGATAAAAAAAGGGAAGTGATGAGAAAAGGTAGAGGAGGAAGATCTATTAGAAAATGCCAAAACGAAGTGCCGAGTTATAAGCAGCCATTTGTATCCAGTAGAGACCAGAACTTTTTTTTGCCAGTTTAAGATTTGAACGTTTTATTATTCTCAGTAGCCCTACTTAAATCATTAGGTTTATTTCTAGAACTACTAGGGAACAAAATTGGATTTTTGAAAATGATTATAGTATCTGTATTAGCTGATGTCCTCTACTATAGAGCACATATTCTATTTTTTCTTTGACAAAGGTGTTGTTCAGATAGCAAAACTTCCTATGGCGAAAACTATGATTCAGTATAAGCATGGCTCAAGAGAAACTGCAGTATTAGCACTGTAAGTCCGACCATAGTTCTCCACTCCAGAGGCACTAAGGTAAGAGTGAACAATTTCATGTGCATCAAGTTTCTCATTATGTTTAACTTTAAGAGAACATAAGCAGTAATGGTAAGATGGGTCAAATCCCACTTCTACTTTACTTGAAGGCTTCAAGCAGCTCAAAGCGCAGGAGGAAGAAATAATTCATGCCAGTGTACAATGGTAGGAAAATAGCTGTTGTGCTTAACAACATGAGAGAAAGCAGATTGAAAGACTGCGAATTCTTCAAAAATAAAAGAAAATAACATCTATCCATCCACCTACTCCTAAAAAATGTTGTTTAGATATTAGCATGAATGAGTTACACATACATTGCCTACCAGATTAAAAATATATATTCTGATTAAATCTCTGGCAGAAGTACTGCATCTGAAATTTTATCAACAAGATAGTTCTAAACTTCTGCCGTCAACATGAAGGGTGCAGCCTTGAAAAACTCAAGATTTTGGAAATTAAATTGCTATGTTGACCAGTAATACTTCTATATATATTATAATTTAAATATTACTACTTATATTTTAAAGGAATCTATGTGGAATTTAAGTATATTTACAGTATATTTAAATAGAAAACTTTTTAATGGCTTAAATAAGGTATGCAAACTGGTTTTAAAAGGTGTACAATATTATATTGGACTTCAGATTCCCCATAGATAGGGAAGGTAAAACAACTTTGCCTCAGAACTTGTATTTGGCTCACAGTACCTGAAAAAAAACCCCAAAATATTTTAAAGTTCTAAGAGGTCATTCTTCTTCATAAATGAAATATTCTAAACAGAGAGACTTCAAACACACTTTATGTAAACATTATGTTGCAGCACACAATGCCCTCTTTAGTTTTTGCTTTTTAGCAGGCAGTCCCAGCGGTACTGAGCCAAAAAGAGTTAGCAGCCAACTGTGTAATTCCAGCCACGTGACCTCAGCTGAATTTCATTCCCTTAACATTATCTTTATCACGATGCACTTCAGCTGCCTGGTTCTCAATAATGCAGAGAACTTCAATAAACAAGAATCACCAGCAGTGTCAATATTGCTGAGCAAAACAACTACCATATTTTTCGCTCCATAAGATGCACCTGACTATAAGATGCACCTAGTTTTTAGAGGGGAGAAGCAAGAAAAAATATATTCTGCGCAGAGCATGTAAGCGGCTCTCGCTTTTCTTGCTTTAAACCCTTCCGTCCCTTCTCCTGCTGCGCAGCTCTCGCTGAAGCCAGCAGAGCAAGAGTGATAGCTGCGCAGTGCCTCTTCTTCTGCTGGCTTCCCAGCAAAGTTGGATGAGGGATGAAAGGGAGCCCTTACATGGAGCCCCTTCCGTCCCTCCTCCCGCTTCGCTGAGAAGCCAGCAGAGCAAGCCCACAAGAGCCGCACACATGCTAGGCGCAGCTCTTTAAAGAGCGCACGGCTCCAGCAAGAGCCTCCCACCTGCATTCGCTCCATAAGACACACATACATTTCCCCTTATTTTTTTGGGGGGGGGAGGTGCATCTTATGGAGCGAAAAATACGGTACATGACTCAGCGAAAATGAAAATAAACATCACCAGACTTTTTAAAAAACATACATTTTACGACTCTATAGTTCATTAGAAAACCTATCTGCTACAGTTTAACAATAGTGATGGCTGGTAGACATTTGCATCTGTTCAGAGCAAAGGGCAATTTATAATGTGCCCACTGGACTAAGTAACAAAGCATACACATCAAGGACATGATACTCCGTTCCCCCACCCCACTTCACAAATGCAGATTCAGATATGGAACCAGTGGTCCACATGCTTCCATCAGCAGGTGGCCAATGATAATGATCAAGTCTTTTCTAATAAATAATTATAATTATTATGTTAAAAATCATAGTAAATACTGAATTGTTACTGTCTAAACTACCTATGTCATAACTGGTCAGCTTATGATAAGACCTTAATTGCTCTTCTCTGGCCTTTGGGATTATTAAGACACATATGGTGCTTGAATTAGGTTTGCCAAGCAGCTGGAGAAGACCTTTAGTTCCAGAAGAATAAAAGCTTCTATATGGTGATATATGTTATCATACAAAGCTGCTTCCTATGACTTCTAGGTCTTTAACACAACAGTTAAGAGACATGGGCAATTCATTTAACATAAGTTGCAGCAAAGATTCTGTCTCAGTATGTAAAGTTGACTAGTGGGAATTGTGTTCCAGAGAAGGCAACAGGCTCAGCAAGATCAGTGCTATACTCAGGCACAATTGTATAAAGAATAGAACCAGAAGTCAAGTCAGGAGGACACTTCATAAAAGAATAGGTGTTGAGAGCTTTTCACAGTGCCCAGTGGCAAGCTGACATTTTATCTGAAAAGACTTAATGGCTATGAAGCAGACCTTCCAAGATTCATTTATCTGACAGAAGGACAACTGAACTGGCTAGCACACATTCATATCGTCTATTTTCAAACACAATAGTTTATTTTAGCAGAAAGAGACCAGCATATTTTTACTGCACAGACTGCTACAGACTTTCCCCAAATGCCTCTTATTTCATCATAGTTTGATACCTTTGCTACGAAAATTCCAAAACATCTCAGATACTTGTTTAAGGTCCAGTTGGTAGGCCAATACTAAAGCCAGCCTTATTATTCAAATTATTTTTATCCCACCTTTCTACCAAAACTAGTCCTCCAATTCACAAGCCTACACTGCACTTTTTCTTGCCTTTCTGCAACTGGTGTCTGTGAAAGACTCCCAAGCTAAAAGACACCCCTTTAGAAAAGGATGGAGACTAGAATGTATATGCACAGGTTTTTATCAACTTTCCATGTTTCTTCAAACATGCATTTGCATTTTTATGCCTAATAGGGAGTACTGGAACACTGTATGTACAAATATCTACTGAGTTTGACATCATAACAGCCCATTAAAAGCTGCCTCAAGCATCTGGCACACATATATGTGAAGTAAATCAGTCCTTGAGACATAGAATACATCTCATGTTACCCCTGCAGAGACATGTCACATGGTTTTATTCAAGGACAAATAAGTGTACTGCAACTTCAGACTGAGTATTTAAATTAATTCTGATGTTACTTTTTCTAGTACTGCCTTTACAAGATACGTAGGAGAGCTGTTTATGAAGTTTGTTATAACACAGCAGCACCTAGGCCATACTGCAGCAGAGACAAAAGCAGGAATGGGAAACCTGTGGTCCTCTATATGTTGCTGGACTGCAACACCCATCATCACTGGTCATGCTGGCTGGGGCTGATAGGAGGTTGAGTACAATACTCAAATCTTTCATATGTATGTCTGTGTCCACGGGAAACCATTTCCAGGGGTCTTTTTCTTGGCACACTTGCTGTCTATGTGCAGGAATGTTTTTTTGTGGGGGAGCATTTCAGAGGCACAGGTGTGCTGTAAAGGTCTAAGTTCCCATTAAGCTCAGGTATATGTAGTTTTCTTCTGTAAGAAACCACCCCCCAGTTATTCTCTCAAAAAAAGAAGAAAGCTAGCCAATTGTTTTTAGAAACATACAGAAAGCACATAATGTTGAATAGAAAGAAAACAGGCCCACGTGGTGCCATTTGGGTGGCTGGTTTGTAAGAAAACAAAGAGAAGGTTAAAGCTACATCTTTCCAGTCTGAGGCCAACAAATGCAGCTGAAAGTTCCTCAAACTTGGCCTTCCAAACCTATCAGTCAAAGATGGGGGGGGGGTGGCATTCAAACACAAGAACTTACACTTGGATTCCCAAACTATACTTGAGTTATGTGAAATCACAGAAATACAGTAAATGTTTTCAAACAAGTTTATGCAAATATTGTGGGAAACAAGTGTAAATAAAACATTTGGTCAAAATGGCATTGCAGGAATAGTTCACTTCAGCTGAACAAGTAATTCCAAAGCAGTGAATCCTTTTAACAGGATCTTTACTTGAGGCTTGCATTCTGAACTTCACTGGAATTAAAAGGCTGAAAGATGAAAACGCTTCACTGTTCTGAGTACCAGTTCCCATATTCACTTGCCCAGTCTTCAGCCTTCCTACAACCAACCTAAATTGATGATTTTGACCTCCAATATATCCTAGGTGTCCCATGGAGCTTGGAATGAATGCAAATCCATTTTCTGCTCCATCTGGACAGTTAAATACAAGATCAGTCTAGATCCCAGACAAACTGCTTGATCTCCAAAGTTTGATAAGCAATTAGATATTGCTCAAAATTTGTGCACTAAATATCTGTGATAATATTTTTTCCCCAACAAAATCCATTGCTCTCTGTTAAGTAATTCCTAAAAGCTATATGGCACATTTAGCTAAAGACTGGCGAGACTGATGTTGAAGTAGACATTAGTATGAATTATTAAACTAAAAGCTGCCCAAACCACTCACTCACATAGTTTATGATGAGTGCTAGGAGTAGTTTAATCTTTATCACTGGAGCTGAAAGAACAGCCTGGTCTTCTCAGCTGAAGAGATATCAATATTTCATTGTCTCAACCAAAGAAGTGATTTTTTAAAAATGTAATCGTTCTTTCCCCCTAATTCCAAACCATTTGAGATTTGTATCCACATTGGAAACATGATAATTATGGGTAGATATTTAAACAACCACTTGAAAATATTAGCAACCCATTTCATAACAGAATAACTGGATTATCAATTTTGTAGGTTTCATTGATTTAAAAATTAGAAGTTGAAAGCCTAAGATCTTTTTGTAAAAGAAAAAAAGTCCTCTAAAGAAATCATGATTATTTAGCATCCAGTTGCATCATTAACCACACTATATGCTTAATTAGCTAACTGAGATTTTTAAGCCAAAGAGTAGCATAAAACATATTAACAATTTGTTACTAGCAAAAAGTATAACATAAATGTTATTGCAGCAAAAAAGCTGTTTTCTTTTAAAGTGAGTATGAACATATGAATATTCCTAACCTGTAAAATGATTCCTCCACATTATATCAGCGAAACTCATTGGTGGGCCACTGGGAGGGTAGTGTTTACCTTTAAGAGGCTCATGATCAGTCCTTATCATATCCATTAATGAATTTTCCAAAGAGTGCAAGTTAAAAGTATCATAGGGCCGATTCCGGTCCTAGGAAAAAAACAAAAAATAAGAGGACCGTTACAATGTCATCACTAAATAATGCAAACACTTAACACTTTTCCCACTCACCACAAATTTATTGTAAAATTAGCAAAATATGCAAAGCTCAATATGGTAAGTCCTTCAGAACATTTTGAGTGCAGAACATGTAAAGAGAAAGATCCTCTTTTCTATAAATGCAACTGATCATGGCAAGTGTGAATGTTGCAAAAAAGGACACAGTTTTAACTTGACAGCTTATTGAAGTGAGTAACCAGAAAGGTCTCAGAATGTCAGAATCAATGCTGGAATAAAACTATAATGAATGTTCCTCTTCTATTGCAACATTATCTGGAAGGAACCAAATCCACATCTAAGACAACGATTTCCACATATCCCTTCCATTTCCCCCACAGATTGAGAAATAAAGACATTAAGCCACAAAGACCAAGAACTAACAAGATGTACTGTAATTATTTCTGTTTATTTAGAGAGATTAAGAAATTGGCATCCAAATTATGTGAAGCATAATTTGCACTAAATAAATAAATAAATCTATTTTATACACCCTAGATCTAGAATAAAGCAAATTCTATGATCATATGAGTTTATGCAAGCTCTTGGATTTCTGCTGACGTGCCTTGCCTGTTGTTCCTCCCCCAAGCCTCATCAAACGTGCAAATAAATAAAAATCCTATTCCAGATGCTGCTCTGACACTCAAGCGCAGCTTGGGGGTGGGGCAAAGTAGGCTGCAGAAGGCAGTAGTAGATAGAAAGGGTCTGTTCTGTGACTGGAACATTGTAGTTCTTGAGATTCAAAGCTAAAATTCCCTTAATTTTGTTTTAATCCCATTGCTGTTCACATTAAGCTTGCTAGAAGGTAAATAATGTATCAGTACAAGGTGGATTTTTACATTTCCTGGTATCTTAATACGCAAAACTAAGAGATAGAGTAGCCAGGGTGAGGAAGAAATCAGCCTCACTCAGAAACAGTGTTCCCTGAAAATTTTACCATTTGCACCCAATAAGAAGCTTCGCATTGCCTGCTTGCAAAAATAAGGCAATTATTCTGACACAAAACCCTTGGGCACAGCAAGATTGTGCAAACAACTTGAGAACAGATAAAAGCAGTGAAGCACAGCAGAAGACTAAGCAGCACACAGTGGCCTCTCTAAAATCCTTGCCAGCTTCAGCTGATTTTTTATTTTTTATTTTAGTGTTAGCAAGCATTGCACAAAGAATCAATTATTAATCCATATCCAAGAGCCTTTTCATACTCTTTTTCTGAAGACCATTTAAAATTAAGCTGATGACAACAAATACTGTCTCTTTCCTATGGAAGCTTCTATACTGATATTTTAAATTATGTTTTTACCCGAAAGAAATTTGGCAGGTGTAGCCCATATATACCCAGACCAACCTGTAACAAAAAAAATATTAGGTGGCAACCTAATTCTCACAATAACCCTAAACACAGATCCACTTTAATTGACTTCCAAGTCTGTTCAAGCTGGTAGTAACCTAGCTCTCTTGACTGAGTGGAGCAGCAAAATATGTAGTCTCAGATAAAGTGTCCCTGGCACAGCCAAAATGTGACAATTGATTGCATTACATCACTGGAGAGAGAAAACCCATGAGTGGGCAGCAGAACTAAAAGTGGGCCTTGTTCACATGCATGATCCAGAGACAGTACACTTGTGCACACAAGGACTTGACACAGAGGGAGAGGAGAGTCCAGTAATTTCAGTGCCTCAGAAAATTTGCTTGCAAAATATTCTAAGTTTTTTCAATAAGAATATGGCACGTTTTCTCTCTTCTGCAAGTGCATTAATTAACAGTTACGATAAGGATCAGAAGGGTAATGTGGGGCGATTCCATTACTTCCTAACATTCAAGTAAGATAAGCTCATTATGTGTGTCTGTTCTAGTATCACCAAAAAAGATTCACAGTTTAATGGGAATTTGTACACAATCTTCCCACTGAATAACAATATTAACCATTGTACTCAAACTGCTTTACATAAATTCTCAGCAATTTGCTGACACCTATGAAGTAGGTCACTTTTATGTCCACAAGTAGGACCCTACAAGTAGGACCTTCAACTATAAGTTGCGCTGTATCTTTACCTTCTAACTGGAGTGCTCCAGTTCAGAGTTCCATCAGCTAACCATACCTGCCTCCAACAGACCATTCCATTCTTTTCCTTCTCATTGTTTAGCTACTGTACAGGCTCAATCCAGGTTGTTTCAGATTTATTCCTCCCATTTTACTGGGCTTTGAGATTTCCCTGAACTTGCTGATATGTTCCCCTTGTTTCTGAAAGCCCCATTCTAGCTCAATTTCTTTCAGTACTCACCACCCAAGTTCATTATTATCCCAGAGTGGGATGTTGGATAGAGCAATTGAAGGGTAGGCAAAGGAATGGACACTATTTCAGAGTCATATCCAACACCTTTCCTCAAGGATATTATCCTTTTAGTTGCTTTTCAAGGGATAAAATACACGAATATACAAGGGATAAAGTTTAAATAATTTTAAACAATACTCATATCTTCAGAAATTTCTCATTCAAGGTAATGGCTTTATTCATATTGTACTGCTTTCCTGCCTACTAACACTTCCGGAACTTCACAAAGAAATGTAACATCCAATAATAACGTTAATCATCAGGAGTCTCTTTAAAAATGGAAGATAAGTGACCCAACCATTTTGATTTCCTTAAACCCCTGGATAATAATAAACACCAGAACAGGGCAAACATGCAGTGCCAGAATGCTCAACTTTACTAACACCCATGTTTGGCCTGTTACAAGCAGATAAAGGGCAGGCATAGCTCATTTCAAACAGATTCCTATCTCAATTATGCTTCCACATCAACACACCATCAGCGATTATCTCCGCCACACACACACCCAGAACAAAACATTCACCTGGGGGAAGGGGGAAGATGTGGCAACGGGCAGAGGGCTCCAATGAAGACTGGAAGGTTTTTGGTGGGTGTTTCCTTATGCAAGAAAGTATGCTCAGAAAGTCATTATCTGGCACAAAATGGAGAGGCTTGTAATCTATCCGGAAGTTCCCAGGCTAGTGTGCCTTTTCTTCTTTTGTTCCTTAATTACTTGAGGGATATCTTGAGTGATTTCTTGAGTGATATCCTGAGTACCACTTAGGTGGGTCATTAGGTGTGGATTAGTTGCTAAAGCCTTCGTGTTTTTCTGAGAAGATGGCTGTACTGCACTGGGTTGTGCTCTGGCTTGTGCTCTGGCACCCAGTGCAGTACAGCCATCTTCTCAGAAAAACACGAAGGCTTTAGCAACTAATCCACACCTAATGACCCACCTAAGTGGTACTCAGGATATCACTCAAGAAATCACTCAAGATATCCCTCAAGTAATTAAGGAACAAAAGAAGAAAAGGCACACTAGCCTGGGAACTTCCTCTCTGCCCAGAACATTGGAGGCTATACACCACACCTCCTCAACAGTATTTATAGGAACTCAAACACTGAGATCCTGCTCTGTTCCAGTAACAAGAAGCCGAAAGCACCAGCCTGAAGATGACGAGTGAGACCTCGTCGAAACGTCGCCTAGACACCCCAACTTTTACACGGGAAGACACCCGAGGACACCAAAACCTGCATTCCTGTACCCGTGAAAATCTACGAAAGCATATATATATATATATATATATAATGGAGTAGGGTGGTATAGGAGCTGATGCACCTTCAAGCATTAAGTCAAATGCTCAGAAAGCCTCCTGTCAACCTGACTTAAATACAAATGTAAGGGCTTTTTGAAGATTAAGTGGCGGGGGGAGGGAATAGTATATTCAACAATCAAACATCATGCTAAGAATGTACAAATTGTCTTGCACAATCAGACTAAAGTACAGTAATCTAAATCTAATATTTTGTATATAGTCTACCAGATGTCTAGGTACTTGGAAACAAGGCAAGAAAGTTATGTTCCTCCTCTGCTTCCATCAGCATCCAGTACTTTGAGGCATAGTGCATCCGCACTGAACTACAGTACTGTGGTTAACAGTGTCCTTCATGAATTTGCCTAATTGCTTTGTCATAAAATAAAATTCACCCTGAAGGTATCTGAGGAAACATTCTTACTGTTATTTTAACTAATTTGTGGTTTGTATTGTCTATGCTCTGGAGTTAGTTTAACGCAACTGAATGGCAAGTTAGTTTCAAGAGACCTCACTTAGGATAACAACTGGAAGATTCCCAATTTCTAACTACCTATGCTACTAGCATTCCAATGACTAATTGACTGGAGACATGTAGACTATGATCACAGAATTTATTAGAAACATAAGTAGGTGGAAGCAAGACAGTAGGGATAGATCTTTTGCTGTCACACACACACACACACACACACACACACACACACACCCAGGATGTGCTTCCTGAGGACACATATATTCCTGAAACTCCTGAAAATGCAGTATGCTAAAAAAAGAGAGAAAATGCATCTGCACTGAGCCACCAAAAGCCCATGATGCTAGGGTGACTAGGGCAGCGGTGAGCAGATTTCAGGCTTGTCAGACTTACTTTGTCTTTTGCTATAACCCAAGATCTACCAGTAGCAGAAGTGAACTGAGCACACACTCCTCCAACACAAAAGTTCACTCTTGGCTACCCCGAGATGTATTCATTTCAGAAGCCTAATTTAGGTGTTAAATGTTATTTTAACAAAAAGTTATTTTGTTGCTGCTACAACTGCGCTCTGAAACACTTGGAGATGTATTGCAAATGGCCTAGATACCTACTACTACATCTGATCTACTTTTTGCCCACCCACGGACTAAGGACACTCAAGTCCCAAAGTTTCTTCAACAAGGCCTGAAAGAATAATGTCTTCAGTATAGCCATAGTATATTAGCCTACCCTTTATAAAATCTTGGAGTCAGATAAGGAGAAAATTAACATTTATACCTTCTCTTTCTTTCTTCACCAATGAGTGAGTGAAATACAGAATTTTACTTGATTTGTAATTTT